GGAGGAAGCCTTGACTTGACTTGGACTCGGCGATCGCCGACAGATTTGCGATTCGGCAGCCGAGGCCGCACGCTCCTGGGTGGAGTAGGGGGGCCAGGCCCCAATTGGCGATGAATGGGCGATTGAGGGCTGGTACTCTTCCCCCCCTGCCCCAGTCCTCCCCAATCGTTACCCAGTGCGCTTTCGGGTCATATCTCGGCTCTCCAGCGGCCGTTCTGGACGATGCGGGCACCCCCCGCTCGCGCTCAGCGAGGCGCAGCTGCCGAAACCTTCGAACACGAGTGAAAACCTCGGACCTCGAACCCGAAACGTCCCATGCCCAGTCACCCCCCCTGCCGTTGCGCATTATGTGGGGAAGCCAGCGATACCGATACGGTACCGCTACTCCCCAGATCAGGGTGCGTTCTGACCAGATGTTCGAAGCGAGTCCAGCCGTGGCGACGAGGGCCTCCCAGGAGGCCCAAGGAAGCGAGAACGAGGAAAAGGCAGCGGCATCGGCACGAGGGGAGGAGGAAGCCACGAGGCGGGAGCCCCGCACCGCCAAAACTGACAGCAGGGGTGCCCTGTAAGGATGCAAGAGCCCTGGACGCCCGTGCCGACACTCGACGAGCGGGGCGCGGCCAGCGACAGCGGCTAAGGATGGGCCGAAGGGAAATCGGACGGCCCTCGGAAGCACCTCGGAAGAACCTCAGAGAGAAGGAGCAGAAGACCTAAGATGCGGAGCGGACGACCCTCGGAAGAACGACCTAAGATGCGGAGCGGACGACCCTCGGAAGAACCTCGGAAAGTCGCTCATTACAAGGCCACGCTGACGGCGATGTTGGTGAACGGCGAAGGTGGTAGTCTGGCACTTGCGACGCCGACCTCGCGCAGCACGGATTGCGGGACAACGCGAGCGAGCCTTTCCTGCGGTGGGGTTGGCCACGAACCACCCCCGCCTGCAATGACGAAACCCACATCCCCGTTGAGCGTGTCTACAGGACACGGGTCCTGAGGAAAACGGCTCCTGTACCCGGGGGCCTTCCCCCAGGACGCTTGCATCCTCCCGAGTCGCGTGCTGACAGCCCTGGGGCCCTGGAGGGCCCCGAGAACCCGAAAACGGCAGCAAGAAACTCAGGACCTGTTTCCCGCAGGACCAGTCTCCCCCATGGCGAATGCAAGGGAAACCAAAAAGTCGCTCATCCTTGGCCGTCGGGCGGAGGAGGTGGGTAGACACATAAAGCAAGACGGCCTTGAAGTAGATTGGGCTTCGGCCCGCCCCGTGAAGAGGAGGGAAGAGGGAAAAGAACTCGACTCTTGAAGTAGGAGGGCGGCTAAAGCAGGCTGGGATCTGGGAATCCACAAATACCTGTCTTCAACGACCGAGGTGTACACGATCATCGGCTGCACGCAAGAGTGGCCCTTCAGGGCAGTTTTTTTATACATGGGATGTTTGAACATATGGGAATGTTAATACATGATTCATGAACGCATCGTTGTTTTTAATACTAAATCCCTGCATTCTAATACATTATCCGCGCGCGGAGCATGTATTAACAACGGCACTGTAGGCAAGAGTGACCTCTGGTGCGCGGCCTGAGGGAGGGCATTGGCGGGACACCACCAGGCGCGCAAGCAGCTGCGATCGCACCGCGTTCGGCCATCAGGGGGCCACAGGAGGCCCGCACGCCGCTTCTCAGAGGGCACCGGCCCTACGTCTATAGAGAAGGCCCGCGCCTTCTAAGAAGCAGGGTGCTTCTAAGAAGCCTTTTCCTCTCCCCCTGCCCCCCCTCTGCGCGTGGCCGAAGTACCTACAGTGCGGGCGCGGCTGCTGGAACCACTCGCGAGAAACCCAACCATGAAAACCCGCGCGGGAGCTGCACCGAAGGGGGAACCCGGAGCACCCTGAACGCAGCAGCTGCCTTAACGGCCGCGGGAAATCACCGCGCAGGGCGCGAAGCAAAGAAGCCCAGGGTACCCTGACGAAAAGCACTCGGTCTCTTGATGCGCGCCCCCACTGAACTTTCAACGACCGACGTGTACTGCAGCAGGCGCTCGACCACAAGCACAAGACATAATCCACAAGAAACCCCACCCTGAGACCCGAGGACGTCCATTCGTGTTTTTGGTGTGGGAGTGCCAGGCTCCCCGTCGCAGAACGATCGAAACCCAACGAAAAACACCCAGGGGGCACCCTGGAGGCAGGCAGGGTGCCTCTTGGCATGGGCTCCGTGTCCCAGCAGTGCGGACCGTGCGAGGGTCGGGTCGGGCGAAAGGGGGGGATAGCAAAGGGGGGGGGTGAGAATCAGCTCCCGTAGCTAATTCTCCCGGCGCCTCCCGGCGCCGGGAGGCGCCCATGTATCGAGGAATGGGCCCCTCGGCGGGGCCGAAACCAGCTGCATGCAACAAGTTTCGTAACCCCCCCTTTCCCAATCCCCCCCTTTCGTCCGGCCCGAGCTCCGTGCCCCAGCAGTGCGGACCGTGCGAGCGCCCGCGGGCGCGGCAGACCCCCCCTATGCGCCTCGGCGCGCCCGCGGCCGGCGGCGGAGGGCCAGCCCGCACCGCCCGCGGGGGGTCGAAGGGGTGCACGGGCCCCGCCTGGGGCGCCTCGGCGCGCGGGGGGCGCGGCCCGGGCAGCTGCCGCGGAGGGCCTCCTCTCCCGGGCCCCCTCGCGCCGCCCTCGCGAGGGGGGCCCCCCTCGCTCCCCCTCGCGAGGCAGGGGGCCACGTGCGAACCCCACCCCTACACCCGACGATTGCTGAGGGGGAGGGTGGGGTTCACTTCGCTCGGGAGCTCCCGAGCGAAGGGAGCCCCACCCTCCCCCGCAGAAATCGTGGGGGTAGGGGTAGGGTTCGCACGTGGCCCCCTACCTCTTCTCCCAGACCCCCTCGCGCCGCCCCCCCCCCCCCCCCCCAACAAAAACGAAGGGAGCCTTTTTTCGCTGCTCTCGGCCTCCTCCAGGGGCCCCTTTGGGCAGCGTCCCTGGGCCCCCCCGCGCCGCCGCCAAAGTCACGACGGGAGCCTGTTCGCTGCTGTCGGCCTCCAGGGGCTCTTTCTGCCGAACGCCAGGGCTGTCAACAAAAAGGCCGGGATGGAAGACTGGTCCCGGGGAGGGGTCCCGACCTCTGGGGGTCGACGCTGCGAAAAAAAATACGACGCGGGGGGCATCTGGGCCGTGAGAAGAGAAGTAGAGGAAAGAGAACGATGCACATACACCGACTCTGGCCAGGCCCATCCTGAGCCCAGGGTCGGTGCATACGCCTTCGTGGCTTGGCCAGGGAGGCAAAAACACCGATCCTGGGCCCTAGGACGGGCCTGGCCAGGATCGATGTACGTGCATAGGTAGATCGGGGGTAGGCTCGCCCGAAAACGAGACGATGGCGACCAGGAGCTGCTGCTCCACGAGTCGCGGCGGCGGCCCCAGCGGCACCCTGTGCCCTGCGAGCGGATGGCGTGCCCAGAGGCCTCCTGGATGGGGTCCGAGCAGATGGGGTCGAGAAGGATCACGTCGCATCACCAACGCATAGCCGATGTGTCGGCGATGCATCGGTGATGCATCGAAAACGTCGGCGTGGGGAAATACGGGCTCCACATCGAGCCGCATCGTCGATGCATCGGCGAGGCGGCGCGATCCTCCGACCCCATCCTGCTCGGCCGCTCGGACCCCACCTGGGAGGCACCGAGGTGCCGAGCTCGGCTCCGAGAAGCGGGGGGCCCTGGAAGAGCACGAAGCGCTGGCGCCTGGGGGCTGGGAGGCGGCCAGCTGGGGGGCAGCGACAGGGGGTGGGGCTGGCTTCGCAAGGGCTCCCAACTTCGCGCTTCGCGCTGCGCGAAGTGCGAAGTGCGAATAACTTCGCGCTCTCGCGCCGCCTCCCAGGAGAAGAGAGGAGGATGAGGGGGAATCGGAGCCGAACTGCGAAGCGCGAATAACTTCGCGCCCTCGAGGGCGCCCTTACTTCGGGGGGGGGAACATCGACCTGGAATCGGCGATACAGCGCCGAGAGATCGGCGATGGGCCCCCCGACGAGGAAGCCGCACCGTCCCGGGCGGGGTGGGGCGATGGGGCCCCTGTCGGCGATCAATGGGCGATGGGGGGTCGATGCATCCCGCTTCTGTGCCTATCCACGAATGGCTTTCGGGCCATAACTCGGCTCTCCGGCGGCCGTTCGGGACGATCCAGGCACCCCTGAAACGCCCTCGACGAGGCGCAGCTCATATAGAGAGCGCCCCGAGGCTGGGCAGCCGCCTAGAACCAGCGAACATCTGCGAAGACCTCGAACCTCGAAAACCTTGAAAAACATCGAGCACCTCGCTTCGCGCGTCGCGCCGCAGCGCGGTGGGCCGGAACAGGCGGCGCGGCACGCTGCAGTAGGAGCTCGACCACGAGGAGCCTTCCACAAGAGACCCAGCCCTGAGACCCCAAGACGTCCATGGATGTTCGTTGTGGGAACGTCCCGCCTTCCACAGCCAAACCATCGAAACTCAAGGAACCCAGGGCACCCTGGAGGCAGGCAGGGTGCTTCTTGGCATGAGTTTCCACTGCAGGCCAAAAGAAGCGCCGACAGGCGCACAGGGCCTCTGCCACGACCTCCTGGGCCCTTCGCGCCGGCGGCCGTGCAGCCGTCGTGCTGGCACGTCACTGACCCAATATGCGGAGGAGGCAGGAGGAGGAGGCGGAGGAGGAGGAGGAGGAGGAGGAGGGGGAGGAGGAGGAGGAGGAGGAGGAGGAGGAGGAGGAGGAGGAGGAGGAGGAGGACGAGAACGAGGACGAGGAGGAGGAGGAGGCGGAGGAGGCAGGCAAGGTGCTTCCTGGCAGGCGCTTCCGCTGCAGACCCAAAGAGCTCCCGGCCGCGCAGTCGCTGGGCCTGGCCGCTGGGCCTGGGGAGACCGACCCTGGCCGCCTCCCCGCCGACCCCCCCCCGCCCTAGACTAGAGGGTTCCTCCGAAGGGCTTAGGCGGCGGCCCGTCCTCCTCCGCCTCCTCCTCCTCCTCCTCCTTCTCATCCTCCTCCCCCTCCTCCTACATATCCTCCTCCTCCTCCTCCTCCCTCCTCCTCCCCTCCTCCTCCTCCTCCTCCGCCTCCTCCTCCTTCCTCCTCCTCCCCTCCTCCATCCTCCTCTTCGCCTCCTCCTCCTCCTCCTCCTCTCCTCCTCCTCCTCTCTCCTCCTCCCCTCCTCCTCCTCCTCCTCCTCCTCCTCCTCCTCCTCCTCCTCCTCCTCCTCCTCCTCCTCCTCCTCCTCCCCCTCAGGGCCGGCCCCCACTGGACAAGCGCGCCCCGTAACTCGCAGAGCAACTGCTCTCGCCGATCGCCCGGATCCGCCGCGGGGGATCCCTGCGACATGCCACATCGAGGACGGGGCAAAAGGAATGGGGCGCACGCCGCCCCGTCGGCGTAATCGTCCCTCGGAGGTGTCGCTTTTCTCACGGATGCACCTGAGGCACTCTGATGAGAGCACCCCTCGGAAACAAAAAGATAATGTCGAGGCAAACAAATGCTGTTGTCTTTCGTACGTATGCGAGCACTCTGGACTCTGGATGGGGCAATAATCGCCCCACCTTGGATCCGTTGGGGGGGTTGGGCACGTGCCGTCGGAACGGGGGGGGTCGGAGGAAGAGGGGAAGGGTGAGGAGGGGGAGGAGGATGGACGGGGGCGGGATTGGGCAGGCTCAGTCATAAGGTTAATCACACACACAAAACACTTTAAACAAACAATAACATCCAGAGTAGGCACTTTGCGAACGGCGGAACGCGCTCGGTGACCCACGGCGCCCTGGCAGTGAGGACCCTGCGCGCGGCGCTCGAAGACGGGCGCTGCGCGCAGGTCCGCACCGCCGGAGGTTGGGGTCCCGAGAGGGCGCTAGAGGGGTAAGACGAAGCCAGGACGAGGATAAATTTGGGTGTGGGTGAATCGAGAAACTCTGAGATCCGGCGGCTCTGGAGGATGTCTAGGGAGCCGCGGCCTTCTAAGGGCGTTCCGGAACGTTCTCTGTCTGAGAGCGTTCCGGAACGCTCTGGAGCGGATGTTCTCTTTCCAGCCCCGTCCCCGAAGGCTGTTTCCATGGACGACCCAAGGCCCAGGGAGGGCCTTGGAGGGGCCCGAAGAGGGCGAGACTTCCAGGACGCGTTGCCCCTAGGGGCCCCAGGACCCCTCCTGCTCCTCCTGATCCCGGGGGTCTAGCAAATCGGGGGGAGGGCAAGGAGAGAAGGAGAAGAGAGAGGAGGAGCAGAGGGAGGAGGAGGAGGAGGAGGAGGAGGAGGAGGAGTGGAATGGAATGGCTCCATCGCGGCGCGATCCAATACACGACCTGCCACCCTGACTTCCTCTGGCATCCAGACGACAGGGAAGCCGTGCGAGACCACGAAGCACAGTACCGGCACAAACTCAGATTGATTATGTTCCACCACGCTGCCAAAGCAAATGCGTTCACCATATTTCAACTGAGCGGAGACGATGCCCCAAGGTGGAAAATGAGCACAACTACTGACAAGACAGACCAATATATCGAAAACCACAACGAACGTTACCACCCAATCGCCGTGAAGGAAGCCAATACAGAAGCGCTCACCACACATTGGATTTTCTGCCAGCGGCCATAAAACATGCCAGGCTAGAAATGAAGATGCAAGTGCGCGCGATATCCCGACAACATGTTGTAGCCTACTGCTGTGGACACTCGCTGTTTGACCCAGACGCGGGTGACTGTCCATTCTGCGCCGTCATCGCGTATAGGCAAACGGATACGTCTTCTGAAAAAACGATCGCGCCTCCGCCACTCTGAACGGGAGGGCTGCGTCGAAGAACTCCTGCAGCGGCTGCACGGCGAAACCGAGGACTCTGCGAACCCTGGCCCCGCGACTCCACGGCGCCCGGCCTCGATATGATTGCAGGGCCGCACACCCGATCTCCGACGAGCCCCTCGCAGCGCTGAGCGCTCAGTCCGCCGCCTACAGCCGGACTTGATTGGACAGGACACGCGACAGGACCCTTCCGAGGGCCATCGCGCCACAGGAATGCAGGAGGCATGGGTCGTGAGGCACAGGACACGAGGGTACCCTTGACTTGGCAGGGTCGACCTACGAATCAAGGCCGACCGTTCGCTTGCAGCGTCCCGCCACCCTCGCCGAGGGAAGTCACCCCCCGCAGGATCCCCGACGGGGCCTGGAGGCGCGGTGCGCCGCTCCGTGCCTCGTCTGGAAAGGGTCTGCTGCCTGGCCGCCGCCACGCCCTGCCGAGTCTCGAGGCGACTGCGGCCCGCGCGCCTGCGGAGACCCCGAGCGGCGACGCCTCCTGCGAGCTGGCCACGGGCGCCTGGAGCGCTGCAGCGAGGGCGGCACACAGGCGAGCGGGCGCCACACCGCGGAGGCGTCCAGGAGGCGACCCACCGCGTGGCCCTCGGCCCGCCGGCATTGCGCCCGTCGCTCGCCGGCCGAACGGTTGGGCGGCCAGCGCCTCTGCGTCGCAGCGGCCTGCACCATTCTGGGCACGGGGGGAGGAGACTGCGGAGCGGGAGCTCCAGTGATGCTTGCTTGGGGTTCGAGCCCAACTGGCTCGAGCCGAGCTGGCGCTGGAGGAAGAGGAGGAGGAGGAGGAAGAAGAAGCGGAGGGGGAGAAAGAGGAGGGGGACGAGGACAGGGAGGCGGAGGAGGAGGAGAGGAGAGAGAGGAGAGGGAGAAGGAGGAGGAGGAGGAGGAGGAGGAGGAGGGAGGAGAGAGAAGAAGAGGGAAGGAGGAAAAGAAGGAAAAAAATGGGGAGGAGGAGGAGGAGGAGGAGCAAAAGGAGGAGAAGGAGGAGGACTAAGTGGAAGAGAGGGGGGAAAGAAAAGAAATAAAAAAGGAGGAGAAGAAGGATCATGAGGAGAAGGAGAAGGAGGCGGGGGAGGAGGGGGGGGAGGAGGAGGAGGAGGAGGAGGAGGAGGAGGAGGAGGAGGAGGAGGAGGAGGAGGAGGAGGAGGAGGAGGAGGCGAGTCGCCAAGCAATGCAGGAGGGCACCAACTATACACCTACACCGCTCCTGATCAAGCTCATCCTGAGTCCACGATCGGCGTATACGCTCTGATGCCCGAGCGGGTTGACAAATACGCCGATCCTGAACAGAAGATCGGCCTGCCCGGGACCAGTGTCGTACATACCTGGTGCCCTCCGACTAGGCAACGGCTCGTCCCCGCCTGCGGCGCCGGCGCGGGCTCGTCCGCCAACGCGACCGCGCGGGAACTCCTGCCCAGCGGCCCCATCCTCCTCCTCCTCCTCTCCTCCACCTCCTCCGCCCCTGCCTCATCCTACAGCGCCGCAAGCAGCGCGTGCGAGAAGTGCGGGCAATGGAAGCAGGCTTTGGCAAGTTTCCGAGAGAAAGAGGCAGAGCTGGAGCCCGACGTCCTCAGCTACAGCGTTGAAATCGGCGCGTGCGGGACAAGCGAGCAGTACACAACTCGGGGCAGTGGACTGGTGCACTCCGAGGCGGCAGCAGGCGGCAGTACAGGAGCAGATCCACTCAGCTACAATTCTGGGATCAGCTCGTGCGCGAAGACAGGCAGTGGCAGCAGGCGCTGGCAATGCGAGAAGGGCACGCAGTGGCAACACGCTGCTGACATGCAAGAGGCGGAAGTACATGGGCGGACAGACTCAGCTACGGTTCTGAGCAGCTCATGTGCGAAATGCAGGAGCCAGCCAAGATCAGCTACAAAGCTGGGAACGGTTCGTGCGAGAAGGGCGGCAGCATGCGACAGTGCAGGAGCAAACGTCCTCGGTTACAATTCTGGGATCAGCTCGTTCACGAAGGCAGGCAGTGGTAGCAGGCGCTGGCACTGCGAGAAGGGCACGCAGCGGCAGCAACTGGCACTGGGAGAAAGCGGAAGTGCAGGCGCGGACGTGCTCGGGTACAGTTCTGAGATCAGCTCGTGCGCGAAGGCAGGCAGTGGGGCACGCAGTGGCAGTGGACGCTGGCGCTGCGAGAAACTGCGAGAAGTGGGAGGCGAAGGCAGAGCCCGACGTGATCAGCTACAGTGCTGGGAGCGAGATGAAGGCGAGCAAAACATGCGGGTGCGCCACGATGAGCTACAATGCTGGGAGCAGACCGTGCGAGAAAGGGGGCACGCAGTTGCGAGAAGTGCGAGGTGAAGATAGAGCCCGATGGCATCTAGCTAACCTGATCGGCACTGCACGTGCGAGAAGTGCTGGGGCAAACAATTGGGGCAGTGAATCGGTGCACCTCGACCGCTTCGGCGCGAAATGGCAGCGGCCAGCCTCTTGCGAGAAGCGGGGGGTGAAGCTAGAGCCCAAATGTAGTCTCGAGCGAGCCACTTGTAGCTACAGTGCTGGAATCAACTCGTGCGAGAACAGAACGCAGGCAGTGGCAGCTGGGCTGCCAAAGCGTGCGAGGAATGGGGTGTGGCTCGGGGACGGCACGAAACGACCCCGCTCCCATGGCACGAAACCGTAAGGAGCCGTGATCCGTGTTGGCCAGCAACACTCCCAACACTCCTCCTCTTCCTCCTCCTCGTCCTCCTCCTCCTCCTCCTCCTCCCCCTCCTCCTACATATCCTCCTCCTCCTCCTCCTCCTCCTCCTCCTCCTCCTCCTCCTCCTCATCTCCTCCTCCTCCTCCTCCTCCTCCCTCCTCCTCCTCCTCCTCCTCCTTCCCCTCCCCCTCCCTCCTCCTCCCCTCCTCCTCCTCCTCCTCCTCCCTCCTCCTCCTCCTCCTCCCCTCCTCCTCCTCCTCCTCCTCCTCCTCCTCCTCCTCCTCCTCCCCCCTCCTCCTCATGCTCCTCGCCTCCTCCTCTTACTCCACCTCCCCTCCGCCTCCGCCTCCACCTACTACTCTCCTCCTCCCTCCTCTCCTCCTCCTCCCTCCTCCTCCTCCTCCTCCTCTCCTCCTCCTCCTCCTCCTCCTCCTCCTCCTCCTCCTCCTCATGCTCGTCCTCCTCGTCCTCCTCCTCATCATCGTATTAGTATTCGCACTCGTAGTTACCAGTATACCTATTTTTAGTTGTATGTGGATGATGTTTCTCTTGTTGGCATTATTCGTCGTGGCAGTCCCATTCTTAGTACTAATAGTAGTCGTCGTGGTCTTATGATTGGTAGTATGGTAAATCGTCGCCTTCTTAGAACCCCATCCCCCCACCAGCCCTTTAGGGCGTGAGTGGTTTAGCGAGCCCCCTCTGTCCTCAACCCCCCAACCCCCTTCTTCCCCTTCGGGGAGGGGTTTACCCCTCCCCCTACCCCCTCCCCCTGGGCCTGGAGAGGGAGCCCCGCGGGTCGTCAGGGGGGTCTGTTTCGACTCCTGGGAGGGCCAAAAAACGACGACCTTCACGAGGATTCTGGCCCCGACGGGGGGGCGCATTTATATCCCCCCCCTCTTCTGTGAAGCCAAGACCCTTGCTTTTATGAGGGTTTTGGCCCCATGTTGGCCTCCCGAGGGGGCCGCGCTCATCTTCCTTCATACCAAAATCATTGATTGTACGAAGGTGTTGGGCTCATGTTGTCCTTCTCAGGGGGTAGCGCTTCTTTGCGCTTCCGAGGAGGTCGCAAGAGGCCCCAAGATGGCCCCCAAGAGCCTCCCAAGAGGCCCCCAAGAGGCCCCCAAGAGGCCCCCAAGAGGCCCCCAAGAGGCCCCCAAGAGGCCCCCAAGAGGCCCCCAAGAGGAGGCCCCAAGAGGCCCCCAAGAGGCCCCCAAGAGGCCCCCAAGAGGCCCCCAAGAGGCCCCAAGAGGCTCCAAGAGGCCCCCAAGAGGCCCCACGAGGAGCCCGAACGACTCACACCAGGACGAGGGGCCCGAACGACTCACACCACGAAGAGCCCGAACGACTCACACCACAAGGAGGGGCCCGAACGACTCACACCAGGACGAGGCGCCCGAACGACTCACACCACGAGGAGCCCGAACGACTCACACCACGACGCGGGCCCCGAACGACTCACACCACGAGGAGCCCGAACGAGTCACACCAGGAGGAGGGGCCCGAACGACTCACACCAGGATGAGGGGCCCGAACAACTCACACCACGAGAAGCCCGAACGACTCACACCAGGACGAAGAGCCCGAACGACTCACACCACGAAGAGCCCGAACGACTCACACCAGGAAGAAGGGCCCGAACGACTCACACCAGGACGAGAAACCCCAAACGACTCAAATCACGAGGAGCGCTTTCTCTCCCTCCTCCTCCGCCTCGTCCTTCTCCCGCTCCCCCCACAAGGAGGATGTACAAGGAGGCGGGAGGAAGGAGGAACAGGGGAGATATGCGGGGCCCAACGGACACACGCCTGAAAAACACGACTGTCGGCATGCTTCGCATGAGTTGCTGTTGTGAGATGGGCTGGTGGGGATACGCGAAGCGTAAAGAATTATCACTAGTATTAGTAGTCGCCGGTCTACTCGTAGCCTTGATAGTAGTGTTGTTATGCATATCTGTGATGGAGAAAATTGTATGGTGCGTAATGTCCGTACCGGTCTTCGTCTTATCATGCTACTACTGAAGATTCCCAGTATGATTTGTCTTATTGGTACGATTGTGAGACGTCGCCGTCCTACTCATAGTCTTAATAGTTGGTGTAAATAATAGTCGTAGTGGTCGTCGTGTTTTCTTGGTGGTTGTATGGTTAACTTGTATCGTATGAATAATATCCTGTTTAATAGTGGTCCTATTCGTATGTTTCTGCTGCTGCTTCTGCGTATGCTTCTTACCACTCGTATGATTACCAGTAGTAAATCGTAAGCATAGCAAACTTAGTCTTCGTAGTATTGAAAGTACTCGTGGTGTTCAGCTTCCGCCTCCTCCTCCTCCGCCTCCTCCTCTTCCTCCCCCTCCTCCTTCTCTCCCATCTTCTTCCTCCTGCCTCCTCCCTCCTCCCTCCCCCCTCCACGCCTCCTTTCCCCTCCTCCTCCTCCTCCTCCTCCTCCTCCTCCTCCTCCTCCTCCTCCTCCTCCTCCTCCTCCTCCTCCTCCTCCTCCTCCTCCTGGGTCCCCTCCGCCCGCGGGCACGGCGGCCCCGGCGGCTCTACGGGGGCCTCCCGCAGCCAGGCCGCCCCTGGGCCTCATTTCACAGCAGTCCAAGCCCAGCGGGCAAGCCGCCGTCGCCTCTTTCTCCTCCTCCTCCTCCTCCTCCTCCTCCTCCTGTATCCTCATCCTCAGCAACAGCAGCAGCAGCCATCATCATCATCATCATCATCATCATCATCATCATCAGCAGCAGCAGCAGCAGCAGCATCATCAGCATCATCATCAGCATCATCATCATCAGCATCATCATCATCATCACCACCACCACCATCATCATCATCATCATCATCAGAATCATCATCAGCATCATCATCATCATCAACATCATCATCAGCAGCAGCAGCATCCTCCTCATCATCATCAGCATAATCAGCATCAGCAGCATCATCAGCAGCATCATCATCATCGTCATCATCAGCATCATCATCATCACCACCAGCAGCATCATCATGAAGCATTATCAACAGCAGCAACAGCATCAGCGTCACCATCATCATGATCATCAGGTGTATCAGCATCAGCATCATTATCATAATCATAATCCGCATCATCAGCATCAGCATCCTCATCATCAGCATCATCATCAGCAGCATCATCATCTGCGTCAACTTCAACGTCACCATCAACAACCAGCAGTTAAAGAATGTTCGTTGCTGGTGATGATGATGATGACGATCTCGTACCCCACTTGGGGGGCATGTACGTATATCTCAAACCCTCGACACCCGCCCTCTTCGTCTTCGATCGTGCCCCCCTTGGGGGCATATCTTCCCTACCTGCCGCATGTACTCGGCGCAGCCCCAAAACAGGGGAAGCACGGAGCATGAGAGAGATCAGCAGGAGGAAAGTTACTATACCATATAGAAAGAATTCGTTTGCTAGATATGCAGAAAGAACCCTGGTTAGACAATTTCTTTCCATAAGATATAGTAGGAGCGGGAGCATAAGCGGCAGAACCAGACGGGCGAGTCGGTCGGGCGGACCCCAACGGGAAGGTCGGGCGGGCGGGCCCAGACGGCCAGGTCGAGCGGGCGGGTCGCTGAAGCGTCAAGACATCATCAAGGTAATTTCGAGCGATAGCGCGATTACCCAGAAAATCGCTGGGCCATCTAAAGCGAGAGCATGATTTGTGAATCTTGGGGGCACGGCACCGGAATCAGTTGTGAGGAAGCACTACGCGAGAGCGCGGTCCCTGTATAAAATTCTAAAGAATTCCCAT